CAACAGATCCCTAGTTGCTTGACATTATTCCCCACGCCTGACTTATTAAAGAAGCTAATATGTTGTAATCCCCGCTATCGCTCTCACCTTCTCGCTGGCACACCTCTGTTTTGGGCTGTGCCACTGTGTGAACCAGGGGTGCGCAGGCACGGTTGGTCTTTTGCTGACTGCCTGATAATTGAATGAGCGATTATCCCTCCCATTAATAGACAATGATACAGAAAGCACTGCCATATGTACGGAATATTAATGAGTGGCTGCAGCGGCCTAGATAAGAGAAGCGCCATGCGGTTGCTGTAATAGGGGTTAAAACAATTTGCTCCCCAACACCCTATCCCTCCTCACACACAGACACACACACAGACACACACATGCACACACACATGCACACACACTTTCCCAACGCCTTCCACTATGCTAATCCTCCATCCTCTCTCTAACTAAGCAGGCTTCCACCATCATCCACCCCCCATGGCCTGGACTTGTACTTTGTGCTGACCTTGCTGCTGCCAAGGCCGACCCGCCATTGTGTGAGAATGTGAGCAGGGTCACTCAACAACAAAATGACATGCTAATGACGGGAAGTGGCGGGTGTTTAGTATTTATGGTATGAGGCATTTTTTAACAAAAGAGCTGGAAACACATGCAGCTAGGGCTGGAGGATATGGAAAGAAATATCAAATATCAGAGGCAAGCATTTCTGATCAAATACCTAAACATCGATATTGAGATGATACTGTAGGGTTTATCATTGATACTTTTGGCCCTTTTTTACACAATGAGCATTTTGTAAGCATCAGTAATGGGGATTTATTGACTAAGTGGGTAAGGCAAATAAAAGCCACAACATGACAAGAAATTATATTGATTTATGGTAATACAATTGAATCAGGAAAAGACACTCATGGGATATTAAAATATCAGAAATCTAAGAAAATATCTATTCTCATACCACAATATCAATACAAATATCGATATTATTGCAAAGCCAGGTTCAGGAAACTCAAAACCTCCTGTTGTTTTATTTTTGAAGTTGTCTCACTTCATCTCAGTGTTTCACTGCTGAATCGGTCTTCATCATCTTGCTGTCACAAGTATATTTTCCAGATATTCAGCTAAAGTAAAGCTGCAGCTGATCCATCACTCCAGCATCACCTCCATCACATTTCATTAAAAGGTTACAGAGAATCAGGCAGGTTGGGGCACACTTCTATATGAATGACCATGCCAATCAATATCTAACATCTATTAGCATTGGAAAGCAATATTTCCCCTTTTTACCTTGCAATAATTGTGCTTAATGCTGTGAAGTACCTTATCATAGGTCTGACGGCAAAAGAAAGGCCGGTTACCATGGCGACTGTGAAAGCCATTGGTTTCCTTTTCAGCAGAATAATGAACTTCTCTCCTCTGTGTGTCACTCTTCCACTCCACTCTCAGCCTCTTCGATTAAATTGAAGTCCACGCGTCCTTGAAATCCCTCGTCCCGCCTTATAATTTGCCAAACAAGAGAAAAACACAGAATTTTTTTTCCAAGGTTCAGCAAATGCATCGCTTTAAGCCGAGGCGTGGGTGTACCTCAGAAACACGGTGTATACTTTTTTAAATGTTCATAGAGGATGTCTTCCTAATAAAGATAATCTATATTTTTATGATAGAATAGGGTGACATCTCATTGACAGTGTTAAGGCTCTAAGATTATAATCATTTAATTTTCTATTAGAAAATCTGCATTCATCCTCTCAGATTAAACAGTCCAAATAATATTTAATAATTCCTATATAATCAGTTAAAATGGCTTTTATTTTTTAGGATTTGAAACTGAAATGCCTTAAAACCACCTTTTGGTGAAAATGTTATACTGTAAATATATTTTAAAGTCATCACACAAGGTAAAGGCTACTGTCACATTTAATGATGATGGATACATGGAGCTGAATAGACTTCTCAAAGTAAGTCTGAAACGTTCCCCACAGTCAGGTCAGTTTTTCTCTATTTCTATAGGAATTTTAAAAAAGAATCTAAATGTTGAAAATCCGATCAATGATTGCAAGATCTATCCACAGCGTCCTTGAGCCCATCCTCACTGCCGGAGGACATAAAGAGTTTTATTCAGCAGTGATGTCTGCACGATGGTCGGAAATAATAAAACATAGTCCTGCAAGTAATTCAAGTAACCCGAGACAATCCAGACACACAGATCCAATGCCAATTAAAATCTAGATGTTTCTTTACGTTTTGTATTAGCTGAATATGGCAAAGCATTAATTAGTGATTAGTTCATTTGAAAACTTTAACGACATCAACGATTGCTTTCTTTTTCACAGTGCAGAGGAACTGCAACTGGATTAAATGTTTTAGAGGAATATAGGTAGGTTTACCACATGGCATAAACAATGCATTATTTTTTTTCAAGTAATGGTAATTTATGGAATGTATCCACCTACGTTACAACGGACAAGTCCATCTAATGCGTTGATTTAATGTTGTTTTCGATTAGTTTTTGGCATGATCATTATTTGAAAACTATGTTTATACAAATTAATGCTACTGCTTTGCCACAATAAAAGTGACAACCGCTCCGCTAATAAAGTTATTGATCAAATAATTGCATCGTAAAACAAATACAAATAAAGATGTGTCATTAACATCTTATTATATATTTTTCCCGTTAAACTGTAAATGATTGACTCTTTGATTTAAATGATTCAATTAGCGTTTTCCCACAAATTCAACAAATAAACATGAAAACAGAAATAATGAAAAGGGCGAAAAATACCCGCGTTGCTGTCTTACAGGCGTGGGGTCAGGCCCGATCACAAACAACCCTGACATCTTAAACATAATCAAAGGAAAAACAGCTACAGCTCAATATTGACATAATCCTTAAACCGCTTGGTATGTGGCAGCAAATTAAGAACATATCGGTGAGTCGGTGACACTTTGCAAAAGGCTTCTCTTCGCTGTATCACCTAGCAATATTGTAGTCATTAAGAACATATCTGATAGTACATGGAAACAGCAATATCAAGAGAACAATAACTTTCTTCTTATTGATAAAGGAATGTATAATCAGATCCTACAACGCACACAAGTGTTAACAACTACAGACAGCCGCACAGAGAGATGGTCACCAAAATGTACTGTTAGCATGAGAATGAATGAGACAAAGATGTCTAATGTTGGCATTTTTTCAACGTAGGCTTTTAGTAGCCGAGTTGGGAATAAATTAACTCGGATAATATAACACACAAACTAATAAAAACAACAAGGCCTGTTTGTTTTTGGTCTAATGGTCATGCATGTCAGTTTATTAAACAGGGACTCTTCCTTCAGTATGACATACACGTTCAAAGTCACTAAAAAGTAATGTAGCCTAGCTCAATACTATTCAATTCAATCCAGATGCTTTTAATCCTTCAAGGAGAATTTCCAAAAAGCTAACTTTTCTGAGATCAACACAACAAGGCCAAAGCCAGCAAGTCAACCATACAAACTGAGAGGATGCAACTTCCCGAGAACAGCACTTCAACAACTTTGCACAATGCACCGATCAGATCAAGTTGATTAGAGGCATTCGCTAAGTAATAAAAAATGTTTGCAATATCAACAATGCTGCTTTTCCTTGGTCATTTTAATGAGGGGTCGCCTCCATTTTAACACTCGTCACCTGCTCTCGGTGTCAATCGACAAATTACAAACACCACTCATACCAGAGAAAGCCAGGCTCCTAAACTGCCCTCAGATATGCTTAGACTTAAAATAAAAACCAGTTTTAATATGAAATGTTGCATCCATATGAATGTGTTGCAACTTAAGCCCAGTCGATGGATGTGTCTGCGTGCTCTCGTGAAGGCCTGCATCTGCTACATTATGTTTCCATGTTAGTGTTTCAATGTTAAACACTTTATAAATGCACACATTCACAGCGTTTGTTCAGCAGATTAATAGCTTGAATGTCCTGAACATAAATCTTACCGTGTTTCTGAAGCGTTTATAGGCTACTTTCCTCTGGTCTCTGACAGCGTCCAGGGCCTAAATATCCAATTGGCACTTTTAGCGCCCTAAAAAAGACGAGATAATTTGGTTGTTTTTCCTGCAAAACGTTTTCTGATCATTTTATTTCAGACGCTCAACTGAACATGTGAACTTCCATGACCTGAATGCAATTTCCTGTCAACACCCGCCACAGGGAGGCGCTCATGAGCTTACATGACAGGACTGAATGCGCTGCAGAGGCAAATGTGCCATTCACAGTGAGGTGAACTGTTTAAAGGGAACAGAGCTGACATATGCAAACTTTTAAAAACATTTATCTGGGGTTTATCTGGGGCTAATTGTAAAATTAATCATTTTAAAATTATAGGATGTGTCAAGTAATCAGATCTTAGTCACTGTCTCCTTTTTCTGTTTTACATGCTAAGAGATGGATGAAGTATAAAAGTTGGATGCTGGTTAAAAGAACGTTTTGAAGGCTGGTTACTTATAGTAAAGAGTTTTGAGATACACTCAGTAATTAACTTCAGTTTTGAAGAGATCAGAAATGACTGGCAACGTAATTTGTGTCTAATCATCCATTGTTTGCAGACAATATGGAGTAGTATATCAAAACAGTCAACAACTCTAATGAAAGTTAAATATCTGAATTTTTTTGGTGTTCCACATTGAACTATATCTTGTTTATATAGCACTGCATAATGCAATCGGCATTATCTCATGTCCTTATCTCATGTCCTTCTGCTTTTTGCATAACTCCCTCATTCTGACTGATTGAAGATTTCAAAAATAATTCTGCCTCCAACATCAGATACACTGCACGTCTGCACCTATTCAATAACAGCAAGCAGTAGTGCATGCAATACTCAGATCCTTTACTTAGTATTTAAGTAATACCACAGTGTAGAAATACTCTACGAAACATCCTGCATTTTTAAACTTTAAATATAATGAGGAACCAAAAATAAAAGTACTCATTCTGCACAACAGCCCATGTAAGAAAAGTATATATTATTTTATTGAGATATACTTATGGATTATTATTGTTATATGTTCTCCTATTCATCTGAATCTTAAAGTTAAGTGAAGTGATCAGATAAATGTAGTGGAGAAAAAAATACAATATTTCCCTTTCAGAATTAGTACAGTACAAGAACATAGGACCAGCAAATGGAAAAACTCAGTAAAAGTACTTTAAAATTGTACTTAACGATAGTAGTACTGTCCTCACTGACAGCGAGCTGTGTTAGTTTCAGTCTGGCTAAACACATGTATTTAAGGTTTTCAGAACTGGCAGATATGATGCTGTACCTTAAATTCATAGATCACTTTACATCACTCTTTTCCTGAGTGCGAGTTATAGAAGAAGAAGAACTCAGAGCTTAGTGATATCACAAGTGATTTTCACCCAGGCAAGAGAGGAAACAGTCGTTGCATAATGTGATAATGATACATTGCATATAGTATAGTTACTTATTATCTAACACTTTATATTACATATCTAACTGTCATTACAAAGATATCTTCAAAGACAGTGCTCACACCAAATATCACAAGCACAACATGTGACGCATAGCTTTATGAATACATCTGCTACAGCATTGGTTCATACAGTATGTCAACAATAAAAACCAGTGCGAACGGAGGGAGAAATGCTCTGTAATTAAGTTTTGAATGCTGCTTTCACATGTTGCAAAACCATCAAGAAAAAAACGGGCTTAACATTCCATGTATCAATCCCAAAGGTAAAAGGGAAAATAGGAAAATTGCTTATCCCTCGAATGGGGCGTGGGTGGTTTGAAAAGATATGTCTCGTTTAGAGCCATCTCTTTGCTTTTACTCCACAGTCAAACAAAAGACAGCTGTGAAAGTTGAAGGACAAAAACAGCTGGGACCCGGAGCTGAACTGACCATAGCTGCAGTTTCTGGGTAACATAGTGACATTGTTGATACAACAGGAAGGATTGCCTCATAATTTCCTCATTTCTGAGGACATAGCCAGAGTGTCTGTCATCTTTGGTCAGAAATTCACTTTAATACTTAGATCAGTCATGGTCAAATTGATGACAACAATTCAGTTACTATAATTTACTTTAAGGCACCTGTGAACAACTAACAAAGTTGCTCAGTTTCTGTTCCCATAATTTAAAAGTAAAGATTTCTTCTGCCATTTTATACTGCTATTCTTTCTATCCTCACAAATTACAGTATACAGCAGCGTGAATACTGTCTTTCATAAGTTGTGTTTTGACTCAAAATCCAATTGTGGTAGAAGGGTTGTAAGTAAGGAAAGAGTTCACACTCCTTCCCACACAAACACAGTAACCTCAAAAGAGTGAGGGAAATTAAAACATGGTCTTTATGCCTGTTGAACACAGGCATTACACAACATTGATGAATTGAAAGCATATACTGTAAGTAAATGGTACAGTAAACTAATTATCTTCTACATTTTTCAGTGCAAAAAAAAGGAAGAACAAACAGGCCACAGTTTGAGCAGTTACAAATGTTCGAAGACAAATACTTCAGATTCATGCAATAGTTCCCACTATTTCTCAGAATCTTCACTGGCTTTAAGAGCTGTGTTGTTATACGCCAGAGGGATGTCATGGTGATTTTTCGGCCGTGTTTGTGAACGTTCAGGTGTATGGCTGATCGTCGTCTGTCTTCTTGCTCTCAGAACAGACATCATTTTGGACCGGTAGTGGTCCCCAGCCATGAAATACAGGATTGGGTCAATACAGCTGTTGATGCTGGCCAGAGGCCTGGTGATCTTGTAAGTAAAGTTGACAATGTTGAGGAATTCACAGTCAAGATTCAACACACGGGAGGTGTAGTAGAGCGTCCGTGTGATGTGAAATGGAACGAAGCTCACAGCAAACACCACCAACACCACGATAATGAGTTTAATGGACTTCTGACTTGTGGCGGTGCCCTGCTGGCTGGAAGACAATCCCTGTCTGGGTCGGCACAGCGCCCGCGCCATCAAGTAGTAACACACCATAATTACCAGAAACGGGATGCCAAACAGGAGCACCATGACCACAGAGCTGTAGTCCACATACTCCTCAAAGGACCCTTGGCTGGTGGTGTCATGGCAGAGGGTGTCATTGTCCCTCCTGGAGGTGGTGACGAAGATGAGGTTGGGCACCAGGCACACGCTCACCACGGCCCACACCATGCCGCACACCAGGTGGGCATGGCGGGACTTCACAAGGGTCAGCGCCTTGATTGGGTGGCAGATGCCCAGGTAACGGTGCACGCTGATGCAGGTGAGGAGGAGGATGCTGCAGTAGAGGTTTGCATAGAAGAGGAAGCGCACTATTTTGCAGGCGGCCACTCCAAAGGGCCAGTGACTGCGGTTGGCGTAGTAGTAGATCAAGGTTGGCAGGGAGAGGACGTACAGGAAGTCGGACAGGGCGAGGTGGAACATGAACACAGTGCTGGGGTTCCACGGGCGCATCTTCAGGAACACCCACAGAGCGGTGGCATTGAGCACGAAGCCCACCACAAACACCAGGCTGTAGGACACAGGCAGCAGGATGTATTTGAACTCCTCATCAAAGCGACAGCTCGAGTTGAATATTGTGGTGAACACCGACGACTGGTTGTGCGATGCAGGGCTGCTGATGAGTTTCTCCATTGTGATGCAACTTCTCAATGTAGCACTTTCAAGGCAGCAGGTGACCGATCCTGCAAAGCAAGAGAACAACTCTGTGACATCTACATTTCATTAAACTCAAGCAAGTATTCATGAGTGATCTGGTTCTTGTAGTTTTAAATTTGTGTTGTTCTGTCTGAGTTTTCTTGTTGGGCTCTGAGTTGTGTGTATTCATATATTTTCAGTGGTGTAAAGTAACTGAGAGCATTTACTCAAGTACTGTACTTAAGTACAATGTTGAGATACTTGTACTTTACTTGAGTATTTCAATGTTATGCTACTTTTTACTTCTACTCCACCATAATTCAGAGGTAAATTGTGCACTTTTACTCCACTACATTTATTGAATACCTTTAGTTACTTAAAATATTTGGATTAAAGGTGTGAACTATAATAAAAAAAACAGAAACTGTGAACCCCTAGGGTTACGTGGGTTCACGTGAAAGGGGTTAAAAGGGGAGTGATTTGTAAAATATCCAAAAAGAAAATTCTGCTTACAGTTCTGTTTCAAATGGGTGTTGAAAGATGAATCCATAGATCTCTTCATGTTGCTCTCAAAGTGCACCAGATTGATGCTTTTAACTTCAATATTATTCCCGGGGGAGCATGCCCCCGGACCCCCCTAGAGGAGGTTAGGTCCCCCCCCTCCACTTAAATCATGTTCACATGGATAGGATACTAAATACATTTGCACACATCTTGTGTCCATATCTTTCTGTTTTGGTGGTCATGCCACACCGTGCACATGCATGCATACGTGAGTCATGGTAAGATATCTGGATTAAGAGGTTGCTTTTTCTTTGCACAGAATGAAAGAAAGGCCAAATGAATGGGCTGTGAATTTAGTTTTTTTGACACCATTTCAGCCCAGATTTACAAACTCCTGGCAGGACAAGCTCGAGCTCAATTCTCGCACTGAATTTAAAAAAAGTGAGTGAGAGACTGCAATATAAGAGGGAAAGAAAGAGAAACTTTAAAACTGTTCAATTGTTATGATGTGTAAAGACTGATATTGTTCTATAATCGTCTGAAACTGTTAAGTCATGATGTGAAACGGTTAACAAAGAAAAAGGGAAACTCAAGCTGCTGCTACACTTTATTTTATTTATCTAAAATCAAGCACTTTTAAGATGCACACATTTTCAAAAGCTATTTTATTTTCTCTTTTATTTTTAAATGCAGCCAGAGAGGAACATTACACATATCCACAGTATTTACTGTATATCTGTGTAGTTCAATGTTAATTGACTATAAATATTGTTGTTTATGAATTGTACTTTTTTATTCGATTGGCAGTCAGTTGTTGATTACATGCAGACGTTGATAAAGCTACAGGCTATTCAATACATATCACACTAATTCATGAAGCAAGTCCCAACTCATAGCTGACGAGATATACCTGTAGTGTCACTGAGATGATCGTAGTGACACTGAGATATTCGTAGTGTCACTGAGATATCCGTAGTGACACTGAGCTACGTGAGTGACCACTGAGATATCGTAGGGTTGCCTGAGGATATACGTAGAGTCACTGGAGATTGTAGTGAACGCACTTGAGATATTGTACGTGACACTGAGATATCGTAGTGTCACTGAAGATATGACTTAGGGTGACACTGAGATACGTAGTGCTCACTGAGATATTGTGTAAGTGTCACTGAGACATTGTAGTGAGCAGCTGAGATATTGTAGTGTCACTGAGATTTTAGTGCCCTGGAGATATGTGTAGTGTCACTGAGATATGTTAGTGTCACTAGACATCGTAGTGTCACTGAGCATCGTAGTGTCTCTGAGATATGTAGTGACACTGAGATTATCGTAGGTGTCCTCTGAGACATGCGTAGTGACACTGAGATATCGTATCGTGTCTCTGAGATATACTGTAGTTGGACACTGAGATTCGGTAGTGTCACTGCGATATCGTAGTGCTCTCTGAGTATCTTGGTAGGTTGCACTGGAGTTATCGTAGTTCACTGAGACATCGGTAGTGACACTGAGTATTCGTAGTGCCTGAGATACGTAGTGTCACTGAGATATCGTAGTTGTCACTGAGTATCCGATAGTACCACTAGATATCGTCAAGGTGACACTGTAGACATTCGGAGTGTTCTTTCTGACGATGAGTGTAGTGGCACCTAGATATTTGTGTCACTGAGATATTTTTGAGTAGGTATTCTTCAGCTGACACTACAATATCTCAGGACACTACGATTATTGTACGTGTCACTGAGATATAGTGTCATTTACGATACTCCAGTGACCACTACATATCTCAGTGAACACTAGCGATATTGTAGTGACACTGAGGATATCATAGGTCACGTGAGCATCGTAAGTGGCACTTGAGCACATCGTAGTGTCAACTAGAGGATATTCGTAGTGACACTGAGATATCGTAGTGTCACTAGGAGCATCGTAGTGTCACACTGAGACATCATAGTGTCACCTGAGACATCGTAGTGTCTCTGACGATATTGTAGTGTCACTGAGACATCGTAGTGACACTGGACATCGATAGTGACACTGAGATATTGTAGTGTCACTGAGCATCGTAGTGGCACTGAGACATCGTAGTGAACACTGGGACATCGTCCCATAAGTGATTTTAAGTTGCTCCAGGTCAATCCTCCTTTTAGAGGGGTACGTTTCCAGGCCTTGTA